ATAGTATTTTTTTATGGAAGTCCATGGGTTCTAGTGATCAACATTTAAAATTATTCAAAATAATTTATTTTGTATTCAACAGAAGAAAAAACTCTCAGTTTAAGGTTTAAAACCACATGAGGAGAATAAATGATGAAGTGATGTGGGTAACTATCCCTAAAATCTGTGTAATAATTTGTAAGATTGACTAAAATAGTTTTAAAATAATCATAGTCATTTAAATCGTCATTATTGTTGACAGACCAGAATGGCAAATTCCTAAAAAAGTATTACTAATACAATCAGCATGTTGTTAGCATTTCTAGACTGTTTAATATTTGGCTAGCATGAATTTACATGTTGTTAGAATATAGCATTTTGCTAGCATTAATTAACAGATTGCTTGCAGCTTGTATCAATTAGACATGCTAATTATGTTGATAGCATGTTTCGAGCATGGCTTACATTGTTAGCAAGAATAAACGTGTAGCTACTATGTTTTGTCATTCATTAATTCATTCATTGATTTTCTTTTCGGCTTAGTCCCTTTAATCGGAGGTCGCTTTAGCAGAATGAACAGCCAACTTATTCAGCATATGTTTAACGCAATGGATGCCCATCCAGCTGCAACTCATCACTGGGTAACATCCATACACTCTCATTCACACACATACACTATGGACAATTTTAGCTTGTCTTTGAACTTGTGGGGGAAATCGGAGCACCCGGAGAAAACCCACGCGAACTTAGGGAGAACATGCCAACCTTCTTGCTGTGAGGCACTACTGCGCCACCGCATCACCACTATGCTTTGTTCTATGTTTTTTTTTTTTTGTTTGTTTTTTGGATGACGTTTTGATGGTAACGTTTATTTTTGTCTGTATTAGACTGTAAGGTAGCTGAAATTGAATTGCATTTTAAGTAACCGGACCATCCCAGCAAACATTTATTAGATATTCACTGACAGCCCAAATTTAGCCTTGTTTTAGACCATTAGAGATCTTTTAAAGACAAAAACACTTGTACTTTCAGCAAAATTCTTATTTAAAGCTGTACTGAAATAAAAATAAATATGACCTACATCTTGGATAGCCTGAGAGTGAGTAAATTAAAAGCAGTTTTTCAGTTTTGTGAACTACACCCTCTAAATGTACTTCTCTTATTAGGCACATTCGCTAAATTAGCATTTTAATAACCTTCTGAAAGACGTGGATAATTGCGCTTGAGGCTTGATATTTCTCACTCTGTTTTGTAACGTGACAATAAATAGGTAGGGGCAAAGATGAAAGCTCTGAGAGCAAAAAGCAGAGATTTGATCCATTAATTCATCTCTTTCTGTGAGGATGAATTGGCCCGTTGAAGTGCAGCACCTCTTTCATTATTTGATCTACAGCACAAAAGGTTGAGAGCCTGAAGCAATGGTGTAAAGCACCATCTCCAAACAAGATCTTTTCAATTCACTCACATGCTCAACCACTGAGAAATGGGGGAATTAGTGAATGCATTGATTTGATTATACGGTTCAAAACACAGGTCCTACATAAGAGAGGTCCTTCATATGAGTCTGCTGTGCAGGACATCCACTACAGGACAGCACAACTGATTTCCTTGTTTTTAAGTGTTAAAACCATCTTTCACAGCAACACTGGATTGTTGGGAAAATATAGCTAAATTTCAGGAAAACTATAGCTAAAATGCACATCAGATGCAGTAAAACAAACAATCTTGTTTAAAAATTCTGAACATTTATCGAAGACTAATTTCTGTGTGATAATTCTGTTATCACCTCAAAAAAAAAATTAAAGCATAGTGCTTGATTTGTAAAGAAACAGCAGCTCACCAAAGATTAAAAAAAAAATGTTCCACAGTAAAACTGTTCTGTCAATTATTAGTTCACATCTTGTGATTAACATCTTTAAAATCGCATTATGGGTAGGCATGGGACGATAACCGGTTTTAAAGTTTACCTCGGTTTTTTAAAAGTCAAGGTTTTAAAACCGTTCCTATAGGTGTTTGTAAGTTTTGTTGTTTTTAATGTTTTTTTCTAAATCTATTGTATTAAGTTTTTTTTTCAGTCCATGATTCAGGAAACATCTGAAAAACAAATATAAACTAACATCCAGTGTGCTGTAGAGCTGAACAGTGCAGTGGCTTACTTTATTTCCAAAGTAAATAAAGATTTTTAAAGATGCCGTTTCAAGTTGAAAAGAAATCTGTGTTTTTGAAATTGAGACAGCAGAAGTCATTTAATGTTTGCTGACATTTATTGTTTCAAAATATTTTAAATGTTAAAAAATATATACCATGTTGAATGGGGAAAAAGGCGACGGAGTGATGCCTTAGGTAGTGCTGTCACCTCACAGCAAGAAGGTCGCTGGTTCGAGCCTTGGCTGGGTCAGTTGGCGTTTCTGTGTGGAGTTTGCATGTTCTCTCTGCGTTTGCATGGGTTTCCTCCGAGTGCTCCGGTTTCTCCCACAAGTCCAAAGACATGCGGTACAGGTAAACTGGGTAGGCTAAATTGTTAGTAGTATATGAGTATGAATGAGTGTGTGTGGATGTTTCCCAGAGATTGGTTCGGTTGGCGGTTTATTCTGCTGTGGCGACCCTGGATTAATAAAGGGACTAAGCCAAAAAGAAAATTAATTAATAAATGAAAGGGGAAAAAGATGTTGTTCTTTAACCAGACATTTTAAAAGAACAGTAATATTAGTAAGATATTGTGAAATCGTGATATTTTACCCAAGGTTATCATACCGTCAGAATCTTATACCGGCCCATGCCTAATTATGGGATCTTGACCTCTGCCTTGACATGACTATCGATGTTCAAAACTCAAGAAATCAACTCTATATGAAATAACAGAGAAGTACTGGCAGCTCATTACCAGTTTTCACATGACTAATGCAGGGAATATATAATTTCAGTCTCCTAAAACATTTAAATTGAACTTAATTTTCACAATCCTGATATCCAGTTTTGAGCACTTCAGTTTGGAACGACACTACAATATGGCGGCCATAGCTCTAAAGTGCTTTTAAGTAGGGGTTTGGAACAACATAGTGTGTGAGCAATTATTGACACAATTTTACATTTTTTTGGTTGAACTAACCCTTTGAGAGCTGCGTTTGTAGTTTTAGGTTGTTTTTTCATCATTGACAGGGTTATGTACAATACCGGTCAAAGGTTTGGGGTCAGTAGGATCTTTAATGATTTAAAATAAGCTTATTCTTCTCACCAAAACTGCATTTATTTGATTAAAATTACAGAAGAAATTGTAAAATTGTGAACTGTTCATTAATTAATTAATTCATTCATTCATTCATTTTCTTTTCGGCTAAGTCCCTTTATTAATCTGGGGTCACCACAGCAGAAAGAACCGCCAACATATCCAGCATGTTTTACGCAGCGGATGCCCTTCCAGCTGCAACCCATCTCTGGTAAACATCTATACACACTTATACACAACGGACAATTTAGCCTACCCAATTCACCTGTACCACATGCCTTTGGACTGTGGGGGAGACCAGAGCACCCGGAGGAAACCCACGCAAACGCAGGAAGAGCATGCAAACTCCACACAGAAACGCCAACTGACCCAGCCGAGGCTTATTAATGATAATAGTAATAAAAGCAATAATGACTGGACTAATAATTTCACTTAAAACCACATACAATTAGTAATAAATAAATATTTAATAAATAAACAGATGAACAGAATTATTTATTAAAATTATTAAAAAAAATTAATAGTAAAAAAAAAAAAACTGACCCCAAACTTTTAACCGGTAGTGTATAAACTATATGTGTGGGGTGGCGATATCTAAATAAGTGAGGTCCTGTTAAATTATGGGTATGTTTGTTTTTTTTCAAATATGAACATTCTTTGAAAAGATTTATATGTTAATAACATTTCATAACATTTAACATACTAAAGGTTTATAAAAATATAGCCTCATGTCCTCTTTAATTAGCTGTGTCAAATTCTAGGACATTGTTGTTGGAGAACAGTTCGGCTGATCAACTTCACAGCTAATGTTTTTTGTTTTTATTTGTTTTTTGACTGAAGATGATCTAGTTTGATTTGAACATTAATCAGATAAATGGTCTAGTATTTAGTAATCTAGCAAAACTACGGCTAGAGTAAAGAAGCATTCCAAAAGTGAAAATGTTGCTAAATGTGACCCTGGACAAACCAGTCAAAGGTGTCTTTTTTCTGTTTTAAATTTTGTCTGTTTTAGTAGATTTTGTTCATTCTGATTTTACTTCCAGTCACTCTGTTAATCACCGCAAACACACTGTTGGCAATACAGAATAGTTTTATTAAATACTATTATTTACAGTATGTATAGTGTATGATGTAACTTGTTTTGGGTATTGACAATATTTTTTCTTAAACAATTCAATTATTTGTTTCTGAGCAAATAGATTTGACTGAGGACAAAGTAAAAAACTTTATTTATAACCAAGACACAAGAAAACCAGTTAAATTAAAAAATGGCCACAATTTGATACATTACTTAATTAATAATTACAATTTTTACTTTGTCCTCAGTCAGATCTATTTGCTCAGAAACAAATAATTGAATTTTTAAGAAAAAATATTGTCAATACCCAAAACAAATTACATCATGTTTAACCACTATAGAGATGTATGTCAAAGAGCAATGGCAGATTCCAGATGAAGTGTCTGAGGTAAGGTTGACAGGTTCTTTAGCTAAACAACCACTGTCATCCTGATATCTCCAAAATCATTGAAACAAAAATTCAAATAGGTGTTATCCTTACTAACAAACCTTTTATATAAAGTCTAAACAACTACATTTTTGCCTAAAATAAAACACAACAGCAGTATTTGACTTTAGTCCATGACATATAGTATATATCAGGGATCACCAACTTGTTCCTGGAGGTTCGGTGTTGTGCAGATTTATCGAACACACTTGGAACAAGCTAATCAAGGTCATAGGTATACTTGAAACACCCAGGCAGGTGTGTTGAGGCAAGTTGGAGCTAAACCCTGCAGGAACCGGACCTTCAGGAATGAGATTGGTGACCCCTGGTATATGGAGTGACATGGTGAAAAGGTTTCTGTGGTGGTATTAGTGGAGGCCTCTCAGCCAATCAAATTCAAATACCAGACTCGAGAGTTGTATATGATTTCACAGTAGTAAAGCATAATGCAATCATGTCATTAATTATAAAACATAATTTAATATGGCTATGAGTTATATTTAATTTGTAAAATAATGATATTAGAAGTACTTCATTTTTAATCATGACACATATTACATGTAACCAACTATGTACCCAGCATCAAAATAAAATATCTTTATGTATTTGTCAGAGCCAGTTGCTTGCTAATTGTATTCAGAGTTTAAGTCTCTTTATGCTGCACTCTTTGTTTCTCTGTACAATGTAAAAAAAATATCTGTTAATTAACAGTTTCCATATTTTGTGATTTCACAAGCGTTTTTGATTTATTCACATTGTGAATTGCATCATTGGATGTTGATTGCTGCTCTATTGAATAGTTTGTAATAGTTTGAATTAATATAATGCAGAAACAAAGTATAGCAAAATAAGTATATGTACCGTAATATACAACACCAACCCAGACAAACTCTTTAAGCTATCAAAAATGTTAATCAATGTCACTTTTTCGATCTTTAAAGATTAAAAGTTGTTGATAATACAATTTTAATGTATTTCAAAAGCATAAACAAAGGGGGAAAAATAAAAACATGAATCACAAGATATGGAAAACTGATAATTTACTGATATTTTTTTACAGTTGTTTTCATGATAGTTTGATTTCATCAAGCTACACAGCCACAAATTATTTCTGACAGTGACAACATGCACATATTCTTTTATAAGGTTTACATTCACAAAGCCAACCACAACAAAAGAAGAAGCAAACCCCACAAAAACAACAAGCATCTTGTCTTAGTTTGTCTGCTTGTCTTAGTTTGTCTTCATGTCTTGGTACATCTTCTTGTCTTTGTATGACTCCTTCACTTGAGTCGTCACTGTGAATCAGCGGGGTACTTTCTGTATTCTCGTATATGGGTGAAGAAGTGTTCCTATCATCTTCTGCAAAATATGAAAGACAACTTATATAAAATGACAAAGTTTGGTCTCAAAATGTCAAAGCTTTATATGCTGTCGTAGATGCAGCTGGCACCAAGTCAAAATTTTTGAAGTAAATGAAATGATGACAGTATAATTTGGCCAAATTTGTCAATGTTTTTGACACAATCAAAGAAATCTGACCAAAGATGACAAAAGGAACTTTTTAAAATTTTTATATAGTTAAAAAGAAGTGTTTTTGTAAGTTAGAGGTTAGAACAAACTCTAAGGCTGTGTCTGAAATCGGTACTGCATACCCAGGGCCGGAGTGGGACTCCTTTTCAGCCCTGGAGTTTCAAGCCTCAGACCGGCCCACCTCAGTTCACGACTGACTATATTGAAATAAGGTCATTTCCAATTCAGTTTATATTTAAACTATCACGTCTTTTTTGAGAAAACAGCTGCTTTAGAACTTCAAATGTTCAACAACCCTAACAGTATTTTATGTCTTAACAATAAAAATGAAAAAGAAAATATTACTCAGACGAGGATCAAACCCGGGTCGGTGGTGTCAAAATCTAACGTGCTAACCACTCAACCACAACATTTACATGATAATCAACCTGCAGGCTGCATCTTGATCACGAGGCTGCGAGAAAATAGATAAAAAGAGAGACTGCGGTAAAATATTGAATAAGAAGACTGTGGTCAAGTAAATAAATACATTCATTTAAAAAGTGTGACTGCTGTAAGCAACAGATTCTGGAGCTAGGGACACCGGCCCTCGCAGCCAAAAAATGGACCGGCCCACCGGGAATTCTCCCGGTCCTCCCGATTAGCCAATCCGGGCCTGTGCATACCACTCCGTAGGTACTACATTTGAATTTAAATGTACTACTCGACCTTTAGAAAATTATGTTCTATATATTAATATATATATATTAACGTCGATATTCGATATTGACGTCCTGTTTGTGGCACATTAGTATATGTGAGGGGGCAAACTTTTCAAGATGGGTGGTGACCATGGTGGCCATTTTGAAGTCGGCCATCGTGGATCCAACTTTTGTTTTTTCAATAGGAAAAGGGTCATTTGACACATCAAACTTATTGGGAATTTCAGAAGAAAAACAATGGTGTGCTTGGTTTTAACATAACTTTATTAATTCGTAGGTTATTTGCAAGTTTCTGACCACTTATAAAATGTGTTTACACACTGATAACAACACCACAGGAGAAATGCCAGCACAGGCTTCCAGTATCCGTTGTTTCAGGTGCCCTGTATATCTGCCATTTTGTCATGATCATGTGACCTATCTGCGTCAGTTGCATTGTATCACTCCGGTGACTCCTATTCATGAATTCTTTCGTGGTGCTTCAAGGGATAACGTAATGTCTATCGGATGAACACTTTAGAATCTCGCCAGAAGTAGTAGGTCATCTGGGTACTTATCGAATACTGTTTTTTAAATTCTTTGAATTTAGACATATTACTCGGCTAGCATGCTGTTTTTATCATACTACAGTTGAATTCAAAATTATTAGCCCCTTTTTGATTTTTTTTTTCTTTTATTAATATTTGCCAAATGATGTTTAACAGAGCAATGAAATTTCCCCAGTATGTCTGATAATATGTTCTCTTCTGGAGAAAGTCTTATTTGTTTTATTTCGGCTATAATAAAAGCAGTTTTAAATTTTTTCAAAAACAATTTTGGGACAAAATTATTAACCCATTTAAGCAATTTTTTTTTCCGATAGTCTAAAGAACAAACCATCATTATACAATACCTTGCCTAAATACCCTAACCAGCCTAGTTAACCTAATTAACTTAGTTAAGCCTTTAAATGTCAATTTAAACTGTACAGAAGTGTCTTGAAAAATATCAAGTAAAATATTATTTACTGTCATCATGACAAAGATAAAATAAATCAGTTATTAGAATTAGGTTTCTAAAACTGTTATGTTTCGAAATGTGCTGAAACAATATTCCCTCCATTAAACAGAAATTTGGGGAAAAAATAAACATGGGCGCTAATAAGTCAGGGGGGCTAACAATTCTGACCTTAACTGTATATAGTATAGAAGTATGCGATTTTTGGATATAACCCAACACTGTTTTCAATTTGGAAGAGCTTATCCCAATATACCCTAATCTCTTTGAAACGTTTATCCTCTGGATGAGTCCTTTCAATGGAACATTCAGTTTGACAGCAAACAACTGTGCAAAAGATCATGGAGGCCTGAAGTGTGCACCAGGTGTACCATTTAAAATCCTTAATTTCGGAGAGAAAAAAAAAGTGGCCAGTTTTGAGCTCTACAGTTTGAAACAACACTACAATATGGCGGCCATAACTGTTTTTACTCTAAAGTGCTCTGAAGTGGGGCTTTGGAACAACATGAAGGTGAATAATTATTGACAGAAGTTTAGTTTTTTGGAAATAATCTAACTTTTAAGAACTGTAGTTTTGGGTTGTTTTTTCATCATTAGCAGTGTTATGTATATGCTATGTGTGGGGTGAGGTAAGAAGTGAGGTCCTGTTGAATTATGAGTGTGTTTGTTTTGGTGCTTTCAAATATGAACATTCTTTGGCAAAATTTACATATTCACAAAGGTTTAACATGCTCAAGCTTTATATGGTTAAGCTATATATGTTAGCTGTGTCAAAGTCTGGGATATTGACATTGTTGATCAACTTCACAAATCATTTTTTGTTTTGATTGAAGATGATCTGGTTTGATTTTAACATTAGTCAGATCAATGGTCTAGTACACAGGTGTCAAACTCAGTTCCTGGAGAGCCGTAGCTCTGCACAGTTTTGTTCCAACCCTAATTAAACACACCTGATTGTACTAATCAAGTGCTGTAGTCTTGTTTGATACCTGCAAATAGCTGTGTTGAAGCAGGGCTGGAACTAAACTCTGCAGGGTTGCGGCTCTCCATGAATTGAGTTTGTCATCCCTGGTCTAGTATTTGGGAAACTTCAGCCAGCGTAAAGAAGCATTACCAGTGAAGACATATTGCTAAATGTGACCCTGGACAACTAAACCATTCAGTTAAAATTTTATTTTTTATATTTTTATTTCGATTTTAGAATCATTTGAAAGCAGAATATTAGCTTTCCGTTGACATATGGTTTGTGAGGTCAGGGCAATATGCAAAGCTTTGAAACTAGGGTGAATAAATGCTAGTAAATTGTATTTTTGGGTGAATTATCCATATAACAATGCATAAATGTACTAATCAAACATGTTGTAATATATTTATAGTTGCAAAAATTCTGAAAATATCTTAATGGACATGATTTTAGATAATATTCTAATGATTTCTGGCATATACAGTGCATCCGGAAAGTATTCATAGTGCTTCACTTTTTCCATATTTTTTTATGTAACAGCCTTATTCCAAAATGGATTACATTCATTTATTTTCTCCAAATTCTACACACAATACCCCATAATGACAATGTGAATATTGTTGCAAATTTATTCAAAATAAAAAACCTGAAAAAATCACCTTTGCTTAATACTTTGGCGATTCACCTTTGGCATTAAATACAGCAAGTCTTTTTGAATATGATGCCACAAGCTTGGCACACCTGTCTTTGAGAACTTTTGCCTATTCTTCTTTGCAGTACTTCTCAAGCTCTATCAGGTTGAAAGGGAAGCGACGGTGTACAGCCATTTTCAGATCTCTCCAGAGGTGTTTAATAGGATTTAGGTCTGGGCTCTGACTGGGCCACTCAAGTACATTCACAGAGTTGTTGTGAAGCCACTCTATTGATATTTTGGCGCTGTGCTTTGAATCATTTTCCTGCTGGAAGATGAACCGTCACCCCAGTCTGAGGTTAAGAGCACTTTGAAGCAGGTTTTCATTCAGGATGTCTCTGTACATTGCTGCATTCATCTTCCCTATATTCTGACTAGTCTTCCAGTTCCTGCTGCTGAAAAACATCCCCACAGCATGATGCTGCCACCACCATGCTTCACTGTAGAGATGGTATTAGCCTGGTGATGAGGGTGCCTAGATTTCTCCAAACGTAACACCTGGCATTCACTCCAAAGAGTTCAGTTTTAGTCTCATCAGACCAGAGGATTTTGTTTCTTATAGTCTGAGAGTCCTACAGATGCCTTTTAGCAAATTCCGTCTGGCCATTTTACCATACAGGCCTGATTGGTGGATTGCTGCACAGATGGTTGTCCTTCTGTAAGGTTCTCAGCTTAAATAGCCGGCCAGCTCTAGGAATATGGAGGCCACTGTGCTCATTGGAGCTTTCAGAGCAATAGAAATTTTTTTGTAACCTTTCCCAGCCTTGTGCCTCGAGACAATCCTGTTCCGGAGGTCTACAGACAATTACTTTGTCTTCAAGCTTGGTTTGTGCTTTGACATGCACTGTCAACCCTGGGACCTTATATAGACAGGTGTATGCCTTTTCAAATAATGTACAATCAACTCAAAGCTGCTGAAACATCTCAAGAATGATCAGTGGAAACAGAATGTACCTCAGCTCAATTTAGAACTTCAAGGCAAAGGCTGTGAATACTGATGTACGTGTGATTTTTCAGGTTTTATATTTTTAATAAATTTGCTACATTTAAAAAAAAAAATAAAATCTTTTCACATTGTCATTATGGGGTATTGTGTGAAGAATTTTGAGGAAATAAATTGAACTTAATGAAATGAATTTAATCCATTTTGGAATAAGGCTGTAACATAAATAAATGTGGAAAAAGTGAAATATATGAATACTTTCCGGATACACTGTAAGAAAGAATCACTGGTAACATAAAAATAGTTCTGTGGTCCAGGGTCACAAATGAGAAATGTTAGCTTGAAATACTTACTTGTCAAGCAATAAAATGAAGTCAGCTTCTGTAAGGGAAAGACATATTTGAACATACTACATCAAATCACATATTTAGACTCTGAAGTTTCCATGAAATTAAGGTTGTCATGAATTTTGAACCTAGAAACTACAGCAAATATAATGTTTGAAAGCTGATTTAACATTTGATCTTTTTTTTTTTTTTTAGATTTTGTGCCAAGGTAATGTGTGTTGTGTTGAAAATAAATGAAAGTTCTTAGATATTTATTCATAAGTCAAAACTTGTCCTCACAGTTTGTGCAAATGGCCAATGGTGATGAACCTACCTTGCTTTTGAAGTGATTTGCAGTTTTTTTAATTGCTTCTGCATTCTTCTGACATTCCAGTAATCCATCAGTTTCACAAAGCAGACAGTCTACAGCATATGTGTTCTCTTGCTTGATAATTTTTTCACTGTCAGATATTATTTTATCTGGGTCAAACGTGATATGGAGCACCACAACGATGGCAAGTTTGGAAGCTGTAAGTCAGTTAAAAGTGGGTGGTTAAATGGAGAATTAAAATAAAAACATTTTTCGCACCTGTGAATTTTTAAGATTTTGGATTTTGGTTTCATAAAGTGTTTTTTTTTTTTTCAGTTTAATGCACAGGTGTCAAACTCAGTTCCAAAAGGGCCGCAGCTCTGCACAGTTTAGTTCCAACCCTAATAAAACACACCTGATCAAACTAATTGAGTCCTTCAGGCTTGTTTGAAACCTACAGGTATGTGTGTTGGAGCAGGGTTGGAACTAAACTGTGCAGGGCTTTGGCCCTCCAGGAATTAAGTTTGACACCCCTGATCTAATGTAAAGAGAAAACTACCAAAATACACATTTAAAAAGTTTCTAGACTAATGCTAATTCTAACACAAAAGAAGATAATTCAAAGAATGTTAGAAACCAGTAACCAATGACAAATATTAAGCCAGTGGTTACAGTTTTACATTTTCCAAAATAACTTTTTTTGTGTGTATGTTCAACATAAGAGACTTAAACATGTTTGTGGTAAGTGAAGGGTGATTAAATGATCACAGAATCTTAGTTGTGGGTTGAACTATCTCTTTAAATCAGTCTACAGATTTTAATTGCAGTATATGTTTAAAGGTTGTTTAAACGTTATATATATAGTAAAGATTGTATGCAACAGTATATATGGTTTATTATGTGCAACATTTTACACAAACGTGTTTCTTTGAATTTCTCACTGTTTGCAGTATTTTCTGAATTGTGTGGGTTAAAATAAATTCCTAAAATCCACTCTATAAAACAAGTTTTCTCTAATATTAACAAATATACAATTAAATAACCTGACTTTATTCAAAGTTCAGATTTTTGCTCTAGAAATGTATGCAAATGTGTGCATATTTAATCAATAAAATGTAGCATTTTTAGAAAACTTGTGATACAAACAAAATGTTTGCACTTCTTACTGTAGTCAATCAATGGGGAAGCATCATGATTAATATTAGTAATTATTTTACCCTGCATGGTCTCCTGCTATGCCTTGCCTTTTAATCATGTAATCATCTACCTTGTAAGTCACTTGTGATTTGATTAAGGTGCTTCATTGCAGCATCAATATCAGTTCCTGCTCGTGAAGTAATGGGGCAGAAGTACAATATGACATCACACTTCTTAACTGAAGAGGACTCTTTCAGGCCAGATGCTTTATTATGAAGCATTCTCTTGAAATCGTCAACAGCACAATCCATTGTTTGTCCTGCATTCAAAAAAATTCAGAAAATTCAATTTTGCTACAATGAAGTAAAACAACAAATATAATTAATAGCGAAAATTAATTATTATCCTATTAAAAACTCAAACTTTCATTGCCATTATGAAAATTTTGCTACAATTCAAACCAAACAAATATGTTTATTGTATTTAAACCATGGTACTCACAAATGGGACCAGTTTGCAAGGGTCTTTTGGCAAGCGCTAAAAACTGTATGGATCAAAATTACTGATTTATCTTTAATGCCCATAATCGTTAAAATATTTAGGAAGTATCAAGTTTCATGAAGGAAAATATTAGTAAATTTACCAAAGGAAATTTTAGTACATTTTCATTTACTAACCGATTTTTTAGTTAATAATGTGCATTGAAGCTAATTTAGACCATTTTAAATGTGATTTTTTCAGTATTTTGATTATTTTAATCCTCAGATTCCATTATGTATAAATCTCATTTTTTTATTGACACTTGTGAGGTCCAGAGTCACAAACTAATCATGGCTTCGCTACAATAACCATAGTTTAACTAAAAGAAACTAAACCTATTGAAAATGCTAATCAATATACCAAAGAACATGGTTCATTTTAATGAAGATAAAATGCTACTTTATTAAATAAATTAGTATATTTCCAATTGAATAAATAGTGCCCAAAAAGGACAAGTTAATCTGATTGCTAGCAATGAAACAAAAGGTGTATTTCATTTATTTCAAGTCAAATTTGCAAACCAATGTGTGAACATTCTTAGGAAATCATGCCCTATAGGCTACATTTACAGTAATGTCTTACATTTAACACAATTTTAAACAATGTTGCATACTTTTTCCCAGAGATGGGTCGCAGCTGGAAGTGCATGCGCTGCGTAAAAACTTGCTGGATAAGTTGGCGGTTCATTCCGCTGTGGCGACCCCGGATTAATAAAGGGACTAAGCCGACAGGAAAATGAATGAATGAACGAATGTTGCATACTTGCAAAAAAGATCCACATTCCAGGACTAAAAACATGTCAGAAGCTACTGTAAAGCTGAAATTAGAGTTCAAAATTGTTGCCTGCCTATATACAATTATTTAATTCAAGTTAAGTTATAACAACATTTATTATTCATTCATTCATTCATTTTCTTGTCGGCTTAGTCCCTTTATTAATCCGGTTTCGCCATAGCGGAATGAACCGCCAACTTATCCAGCACGTTTTTTACGCAGCGGATGCCCTTCCAGCCGTAACCCATCTCAGGGAAACATCCACACACACTCATTCACACACACACACACTCATACACTACGGACAATTTAGCCTGAATTCACCTATACCGCATGTCTTTTAAAACCCACACGAGCGCAGGGAGAACTCCACACAGAAATGCCAACTGAGCAGAGGCTCGAACCAGCGACCTTCTTGCTGTGAGGCGACAGCACTACTGCGCCACTACGTCACCCCAACATTTATTACATGAAAATATATATAATATGTAATAAATCGCTTTGAGAAATAACTTATATTACAGTAAATGGGATATAGGAATGCCATTCTTATTTGTTTGTTTTCTACTTAACTAATCATCCAAGAAAGATTTAAATGTTTTGTTGATTTGTAAATAACACCAGTCTAATGTGAACATAGCTAATTTGAAAGTTAAGTAGTTAATGTTTGTTGAATGAGGCACATATCATTCATTACACCTAAACATAACTACAGCATTTATGACCTGCTCCTATAGTTACACTTTAAATAACTCACTGACATATTTTTAGTGTGTGCTCTGTGAACTTTACACTGCAGTCTATCAGACTATTTTGTCAGTGTTTACGAGCAACAAGGAAGTAGCACATGCAGATGTGGTCTAACCTGCCTAGAAATGCACAAAATGTAGTAACGTGATTTTTTTGTAAAAACATTGCGTGATAAATGACAAATGTTAATGCTAACATTTATAACATAATTTTGTGCTAGATAAAAGATTTTTGCTCAAAACGGCAAGTATATGACGAAGATTTTTATGCATGTGTAAGGTGCAGTTTAAAGGTAGCAATTGCAATAGCACTAATTCTTTTCACGGATCATTGATAATGCATTTTACATCTCAAAGACATTCACAAATCGTAGACTAACCCAGAGGAAATCCTGTAAGTAAATGAAGGATGTATGTTACTCACCGTTTTCTTCTTCTTTTACAAAGGAGTGCGATGTCAGGACGAGCGGTGGATCACTGGGCAATGCATTCGTGATGCAATAACTTTCTTTCGCTTTCATTTTTAAAACTACTGCAATAGGACTCTAAAAATAGCCGCAGTGGTATCAAATGACATAAAACTACATAATGGATAACTTTTAATCATTTAAAATAATTTTAATGATTATATTTCAGCTACTAGCAGTGAGTGAGATATATATATGCCACCAGAGCCAAATTTTTCAAAAGTAAAATTAAGTTTTATTTTATTTTAAATTTATTAAGTTAATGATCAAAAACTTAATGGTTGCTGATGAAATACATTCCTTCATATTTAAAGCCTTTATAAAGCATATCACATCTAGATGGTATATAAGATCTGGTAAACAACAACAAAACAATATCAAAGCAGTTTTGTATTAGAACAAACTATAAGGTTAAATATTTGTTGATTAAAGTGATTCTGTTTGTAACCATTAAAACAACCTATGTCTGTTTGTGGCAGCTGGTATTTTGCATACCTGTTTTTTTTTTTTTTTTTGCTAAGCCAGTAGGCTACGCAATTGGTTCCATTTAAGGCTCTGGTAAACAGTATTTCGTAATCCTGAAATTTGATATTGGGATCAGAGTGGTCCATCCCAGTGTACCTTTAAAAACTGTAGTAAGATAGATCAGTTAATCCTGGATAGCAAAACATGGGTTTTCCAAATCTGTACCAATTTGATCCAGATGACATTTTTTGAAAAACTGGGCCCTGTGTTACTTATTTAATAAGAGAAACAAAAAAGCAGAAACGGTGCTGGAGAATCATGACAAAAATAACAGCTCAACAACACATCAAGGCAACTTTGTGATAATATAATTTATATACCAATAATGAAATACAATATCTATCAAACTTTCTAGACGATCTGTGCAATACAAGACATTAATTTTAATAATTTTTGTTTCATTTCTACCAGTACTTTTGGCGCAACCATATAGGCACATTGGTTAACAAACTGAATTGAATGCAAATTAAAAAAAAAATACAACAACAGTTCATTTTAATAAGCAAATACATTGCAAAATAATAAGAGCACTAACACGCTGTCACATTTTACCCACACAGGATAATCCTTGTGCTTTAAATATAATAAATTACTATTGTTTTAATAATATACACTGTGTTTACAAGATTTAAATCAGAAAAATTAATTATAGTGGTTAAGAGAGCTGAAGGTGCAGCAATTTAAGAAAACACATGCAATTACAAAAAACACCAGCAAATTAAGAAAAGGGGTACATCCGTTTAACAGCACACATTCTGCAATTCCTTACAGCGCATACACATTTTTAAAAAAATGCACTGCATTTTCTTACAATGCAAACAAATTAATAAAATGTACTACATTGTCATAAAATACTTGCAAAATAGCTCGGAACACAATGGAAATGTTTTAAAAGGATCCTAAAATGTGACAGACCATTTAGGTTATGGTTATTTGGGCTAATAAAATGAACAAAGGGAATCTGGACGTTTAAATAAACAAACAAAAACTCACCTTTCAAAGATCACCTACAACTTCACTGAGCAATAGTCATGGCACAGCAGCGTTCGTCACGTTTTTGGGTCCCACAAAACATTTCTGTTGTGTTTTTTAAACATTTTTTAATGTGTCACACGGATGAAGATCTTTTCTTAATTTGCTGCTGTTTTTTGTAATTGTATTTTTTTTTTTATTGCAGCACGTTAAGCTCTCACAGCCACCTTAAATAATACTTCAATTGAGCAAGTATACATTGAATTGCTGGTGTATCTCTGTTCACTCTCTGATGTCCGTTGGACTTGCTGTCAGGCTGTTGGCGGTGTCTGATACTGACGCAACTTCACTTCCAGCAGAACACGGGCCTTCTGTTGGTAAAGACAGCTGGAACCCAAATCAAAACAAATTAATAACAGTACAAAAAATGTATCCATTATGCAGTCTCAGTAATCCTTGATGTTTACCATTTGTGGGAATGATCTGTGCTCAGCTTCGTTTTCCAGAATGAAGTCGGTCAGTAGTTTCCATGGTGGGCTGATCATCACATCACTGTCCTGACTCTCTGTACTGACCAGCAGTAGCGGCTCCTCTGAAACCTACAATGTTTAAAGAATGTGTCATTAGCCAGATCTCATTAACCAAATGAATGTTTTTTTAAGTTTTCAAAAAAAATAATAATAATTTCCATCAAGTTGTTAGAGAAGCTGACTGTAGTATTGGTAACCTTGTAACAGACAGTAAACAACTCACCATAGCAGAAACAGCTGATTAGTCTCATGAGTGTAATGCTCTCTATGTCACAGTTTATTTGGGAAATGGGTTTCCATTCACATAAACCCCGTTTCTCATCAAAACCGCCACAAGTGAATGTTAAAACCTTTTTTCAAACTAAGTTTTTTTTTTTAAACTTCCATTTCTTGTTTGTGATTTGATACTTCAAATTTGCATCAAGACAGGGTGAAGGAAACACAGCTAATGCTAAAGCTGCAAACTGTAAGTTTTGCCTCTTTGTCGCCATCTCTATTTTAAAACGTGCAACTGCAGCTTTTTGCTTTTTGTTTCCATTGGTTTGTGTGTCGTGGTGTGTATAATCTAATGTTTTGCAGTGTATGTGGTGGTCAGTCACTGCGCCGATGGAGTTGGAGGTACTTAATACTTTGATCGAAATAACAAATTCTACCGGAGAATGTCATCTGAACCAATAAATAATGTCCACCTTTTTGTTTTGACTAGCTGAGGATAAAAATGTATCACAAATTAGTCATGCTGTGTATATATAGTGATCAAATTTAACAAATTAGCTTATATCACACCTCTTTATGCAAATTATTATTGATATATTTTGTTTTCAATCTGTTAGTGTTAAAGTCTGTGTGAAATTAAAAAAAAAATATTTTCCTATCTCACATTGTTATTCTTTAATTAAATGTGATCTTAATTCAAAGTCTGATCTTCTGCTTCCATGTTTGTAGTGCTGGCTCTTCTCTGATTATGTCAGTTTGACAACTTACTTCAGTTTACTTTCAGTAAATAAGCCCCAAATAAGCCCTGTCCCTACTCAATATTCCATTTCAGTTGGAAGTACATTGACATACTGAAATAAGTCTCAGCAACTTCCCATTCAACCGGATTTCAATTTCAACATGATTTTACTGTTACATTTAGTATTTGTATAGTCTAATTTCTAATTGATGTAACATTTGAATTTCATGGGAAATTGTTCATTTAAATAAAAAAACAATCCAGGCTCATTCTGAAAATGAACCGCAATATACATTTCTGGAGAGCGCCAAATTGGTCCCAGGAGCTATGCTTTTCTTTTTTTTGCGAATCCACCAGAGGCCGCTGTGTACACTTTTTGAGATCTCAAATTTTTTTCTCAAGTGCCATTCACGCCTGCTGTTCTTGCATAATTCCAATAGAAGCCGCTGTCAACTGACTGACCCATCCAATGAACAACAGACCACCCATATTTTCATGCGAAAACCTACCAGTAGCAATGAAATTATAAAACATAAAGCATTATTACAAGCTCACCGTTGTGAATCAGGCTAGGGTAAGGAAATAGTTTTGAACACTGACTGGTTATGTACTTAATAAATAAATAAATAAAAATTACAGACTGCAGCTTTAGTTTTAAAGTAAGTGCTACTAACCAGATGCCCCTCAAGCTGCTTCTGTGTGTGTCTCATGGTCAGACTTCTCTTCTTATCTTTGCATCTCTTGTTCTGGAACCAGACACGAATGACCCGAGGACTGAGACCAGTCATTTCAACCAGCTGCTCTTTCATGAGAGCATCAGGTCTGGGATTTGCAGTGTAACAGGTCTGAAGCATGCAGAGCTGAGTCTCACTGAGAACCGTCCTGACGCGGGTCGCCCTCTCTGAACACCTCTGCATTGAGGACCAGGACAGTGTGGATTTGATCTCCTCTGTAGTAGTGTGACATAAAGAGAGAGTTTACTTTAAAACAACACACTGTAATTTCAAAATATACACTTTTTTTACTAACTGAAACCTGCTACATCCAAAGTGACTTATATAATCCAACTAAAGGTCAATAGAATGGTCAGTGCAGTGCCTGACTGCTGGATCTTTCCCCATCCCATATTCCTGTTTCTCTTCAAATGTACTTCTCGTAAGTATACTCACAAAAATAAATAATTAAAAAAGCTATTAACTTAAAGTAAAGCAAGCCTTTCCACATTCTTTTCTCATGCTTTCCACAGAGACAGATGAGTCTTCGCTTAGGTCCAGCTTCCAGCCTCTGGCGCCTAGTCTGCAGCTCTGCACAAGACGTTTCTCCAGAGGAGAAATAGTCGTGCCCAACTCAGCCTGTTTTCTCTCGAGATTTTTTAGCTTTTCACTTTCGCCAGTTGGTGAGTTTTTTCCTCGCTGCTGTCACCACTGGCTTGGATGGTTCGGGATCTGTAGAGCTACGCATCAATGGATTGCTCTTTATTTTTTGGACTCTCAGTAGTAAATATTAAACCACACTGAACTGAGCTAAACTGAACTGAACTTAAACTCTGAAAACTGAACTGACACTATTTCAATTTACTATGATCTTCTATGTGAAGCTGCTTTGACACAATCTACATTGTAAAAGTGCTAAACAAGTAAATGTGAATAGAATTTAATTTAATGACAATCCTTGTTTACGTGAATCTGTAACAATAGCATGTGTCCATCAACCTATTTTTATGCGCATGCATACTCATAACTGTGAATAGGATAAACTTTTTATCAGATTTTTAAATACATTTTTTAACTGAAAATAACATTATTTTAACAAAATTTACAAAAATATATGTCTTAGATTGGCATTAACAGACAAACCAGTGGACCGATGATGTTGATTATGAAAGTGGTTCAGTATTATTACCTCCCAGTACTGTCTTGAGCGTCTGCGCTCCCAAAGAGCCACCAAAAGAGCTCTCCTGCCACCAAAAGCCACCGCATGCACCCCAAAAAAGGATTATGGCTGTTATTTTTCAAAATGCTTATTTAAAGTGAGCTGAAGTTAACTAATTGACTTGTGCTGGAAGAACGTAAAGGAATTGTGTGGAACCCAGCTTTTTTTACATTGTCTTCATTGTGTTTCATCTTCATCTTTCAAAATGTTTCACCGGTTTATCAGAAATTAATCATTTTCTTTTCTTTTACTTATTGGATGTGTTTTATGTACAAATATTTTATGCGATATTCTAATTTTGTGCAAAATTCTAAAAAGCATCTTTGGATGGAAATGCTATGCTCGGTTCGCACTTTCACTGCAATTTAGTTCCACTAAAAGTGGATGGGATTAATGCTATAGTTGCGCAGCTTCTAGTACCATGACTACCTGAAAACATTTTCACTTTTGGTCATCTCATCCTGCTCTCACTAAAACAACTAATGAAAAGAACATCTGGATCTCTTCTACTGACTATGATGCTGCAATTTCAGTATCTTTTTTTTCTGCTGTGGTATAAAAATGGTTTAGTCAAGGGGGATTAATAATACAGCAATGGCTGCTGCTGACTATGGAAATATAGCCGGTTTGGTGGCTCATGTTGCAACTTCAACAACACTAGTGATAATACCCTTTGACTAGTAGTTGATGATTAGTACTGTGTATTGTTTTGGTAATGGTACAGCTTGTTTGGAACCTCAACCAAGTTGAAACTATAAAAAAGACTCACCCCCTTCGAACTCGGAGCAGTTCCTTTGTATTATTAGTACGTCTTGCACGTATAGCCTTTTCTAGTTGAATTGCTAAATGCCTCTTCAAATTTAAGTTGTTTAGTGCAAAAGCATCTGCTAAGATCCCTAAAAGTGAGCTGTACTGAATCAAACCACACCGTCATGCAGTGCAATAGTGTTTTAACAGTACAATGTTGAATAGGTTTATGCTAATGAACTTAAAAGGCTAGAGTAAAATTCCTTGTTATCTCTTCACAAAGAACAACATAATTTTTTCATGAAAAAACTAATTTTCAATTTTTTTTTCCTAATCATGTTTAAAATATGTTGGCAAGACGTTACAGAATACAAAGTGACCAGTGTTAGATTTTTCTTGAATAACATACAAATGAACTCTACAAACAGCTTACCAAAGTAGACATGAGGCTTTATCTCTGCAATATTTTAGCTCATTCAGACCAAACATGGTGTCTTTTATGACATTGATGACCAGCTCACAAACAATTCCATTAATCAAATTTTTCACCAAATTCAGGCAATGGTGACAAAAGTTGTGGGATTTGTGTCAAACATTTTCAAATTACTGGATTAACTCATTTAAGGCATAGTGCTGAACTGCATCTGAAGTTGTATCTCTTCAAAACTTAAAACATATTCACATTAGACTTTATAGTGTTTTGAATTTCTTGATTACCCTATGAATGAACACTGAAGTGCCAGACGAGAAGCTTTTCGAAAAACATACACTCACCGAATGGATCGCCAGCCTCCTTCTGTTGGTTTATAAAAGCACTCATTAGTTTGTTATGATGATCGGTGCAAAGCAGTTGACCGTCCTGCAGAACATACTCATCTCCAGGAAGTAATGGACGATTGCATCCCTCGCATCGAAAACACTGGATGTGATAAATATTCACTTGAGAACGCATCACAAACTCTTTGCTTATGAAGGCTTTGTCGCATTTTGCACACTTGCTGGTGGATAATCTGCAGAACAAAGAGGATTTGTTGCGTAAAAAATAATACATCCACATCATTATTATCATTAGGGTAATAATACTAACCATGACTAAAATATTTAGGCTACATTCAATAAAGTTTACGTCTTAAAATTTCATACAAAATTGTGTTTTTATTAGCATGAACATCCAAATACATAAAAATCTATTTATTACAGTATTTATTCATTTAACATTGTTAGTTAATGTTAATTCTAAGTGCATTCATTTAACAAACACAACTACGAATGTTAATGATGTATTAGTAAATGTTGAATTATGATTAATAAATGCTGTACAAGATTGTTCATAATTAGTTCATTTTAGCAAATACATTAAGTATCAAACATAGACCATTATTAAAAAAAACTATCAAAAATTATTTAGCACAGTATGTTTTTTTAATTGTCAAAACACAATATATTATCAAAAGCTTGCATTTTGTTAAGAATTATGTAATTTTGCAGTACAATGTTAGCAAATTATTTAAAATATTTGTTAAAAAGAAAATACTACGACGGAAAAACTAATGCTTTATTTCAGAAAAAAAAGAAGAGAAAAAGAAATATTGTGCATTTACATCTTCACATATGATTGTATTTGTGAATTTAAATTGTAGTTGTGTTGTAAAAATTTTGAAAAAAAAGAAAAGAAAGCCGTCTTAGAAAACGTATAAAAAACAAGCTTATTTTTTTCTTTAAGGAACAGTAAATGATTTCATAACTGTTCATAGCGTTGAATAGGCTAACATTTATTAGTTATTGCAGTAAACCACCAAAAACGTAAGTAAATAAATAAAACTTTCTTTAACACCATGTGTATACTTCAAGTAGTAAAAGAAAAAGGAGTAATAGTGTTTGTGAAAGTTATTCATTTATTGTATAGGCTCCACTCACCTGCTGTAGTGTTCTCTGCAGAAGGTTTTGCCGTCTCTGATGAAGCAGGTGCAGGACTCGTCCAGAAACTGATGGCACTCCGCGCACTTCAGACACCGCGCGTGCCACTCCAGATCAGGGGAAACGCGCAAAATGAAGCGGTCCAGGATCTCAAGCCCACAACCCACGCAGAATGAAGACAGCTTGGTTCCTTTAAGAACAAGCACTACATTACACACGTCTAATATGCAAGTTGTAGCCATTAATGTCACTAGAAAATGCGAATTATAGCTTCTCATCAAACATTACACAGGCAACAATGACAACTTACTGTTTTGTTGCTCTCCCATGTCAGACAGAAGCATATATCGCTGTTATCTTCGATATTAGACACTGACGATTAAATAGAGATTTCTCTTGAACTGCACTTTTACAGGGTGACCAATGTGAGTCTGTCTCGCTCTTTTTTATGTGTTTGATTTGATGTGGGTGCAGTAGAGCCAATCAGTATCCGCCTTAAGCACTGGACCATTGAGCTAATTACCGAAAACCCCGCCCTCAAACAGTTAGATACGGCCACAGCAGGTTTATCTTCTTCTGTATTTTTTATACATGAATCTATACTTTTGCTAAACGTTTTACCAGGCATTTCAGATTTTTTTTGTTGACTTTACACATGTTTATAACTGTGATTTTGCAGTCAATGTCTAAATGCATAAAAAAATATTATTTTAAAACATTTTATTCAGCTCCTTCACGTGAACTACATTAGTGGGTTAACTGTAAATGGGAAGCACTACCTAATATTTTTTTACTTTCTTAGCTTGTGTGAATCCGTATATAACATTTTTTCCCAATTAACTTTACTTGTCTAGTATAATTGTGTGGTTTAGTTTTATTAATACATTGTATACATTTTCCAATATTGTATATTTTCAACAATAAAAGTATAGAAGTGTCAAATTAAAAAATAGACTTAAAAAACGATAAACAACTTAATAATAATAATCATAATAATAATAATAATCATAATACATTTTTTTAAATAAATAGCCTCATAATTTATTTATGTGATTTGTATATAAGATTAGAATTTATGTTAGCTTTTTGTAAGTGGTTTTATGTTTTAGAATAGAATTTAGCTTATTCTCATTCACCATTTGTAAAGGAAACGTACTGCAGGCTCTATGTGCCATTTACATATATTTCAATTAATAAAAACGAGTGCATGTTTTTACCAACACTAATATTGGTTTTTTTATGCATGCTTATAGTTGTGTAAATTGCTTCCTTGTCCTCATTTGTAAGTCGCTTTGGATAAAAGCGTCTGCTAAATGACTAAATGTAGTGAATAGTGTAAATACTAGTGAAATGTTGCTATACTGCACTGAAGGATAAATTCATAAATAGATTTTATCTAGTGTTGCAGCAGTCAAAATTAAAGCACATTGAACTGAACTATAAACTGAACTTATAAAAATAGCCAGACACAGTTTCAATTTAGCATAGCTTCTATGTTAAGCTGCTTTGACACAATCAACATTGTAAAAGCACTATATAGATTAATTAAACTGAATGAACTTCAGCACAAACACAATGCGTATCCAAACTTTTTTCTTTTTGTACACATTTACATAATACAGCTTAAATAACTGCAATACGTAATATATATATATATATATATATATATATATATATATATATATATATATATATATATATATATATATATATATATATATATATATATTTTTTTTTTTTTTTTTTTTTTTTTTTTTTTTTTTTTTTTGAGGTGAGCTATTAGCAATAACCATAATATTGCTTAATGTTCAGTAATATTCATGTCAACATGTCAATATATAATGATTTGACTGCTCTGATCCAGTGACAATACAAACTAAATTTAGCTTGACTGATGAAACTGCATTCTGGAAAGATGCTTCAAAGCTGAACCAAAATTCACCACTAATTGAACTGGCAATACTGCTTTTAGGATTTGAACTTATTATTGATTTTTCTTATTTCATAATGCAGACGAATATCAAATAAAATAAAAGCAGAACAATACAAAATTGTTGCTATGAAAATACTACAAATAATAAGCATAACACTTATTATTCTGTCCCAACTAATTGTATAGTCCCAATAGTATAAGAACAGCAGAACGCAGTTTGGGTAACTTAAGTGACTTTACTGGCATTTAATTGTTCTTCTCAATATCTTTCCTTTTTTGTACATATATTCAATTCAACCAGCAGTACAAGTTTACTAATGTAGGCTACATAGTTTTTATGCAAATGTTATTAAGTGAATGAGGAAAATTTATTAAATGAGACCATTTGAATCGAATATTAGCAAAATTATCAGATTTATTACATCACCAGAATAACGTGTCAGCCATGAAGAAGTGTTTGTACAACAAAATACAGGCGGTATGAAACTGAGAATAATCAACCCTTGAATATTTACAAAAACAGAGCTTTAGTAGGCTAAAAATAGAGCACTTATAGTGACATTGTAACGTTTAAATCAGCCACAGAATTAAAACACATGTGTGTGTGTAGTACACATGGAAAATAAAAGTAAAACTAATCTGAATGCAGTATTTTAAATGTCGACTAGGTGGCGGATCAACACCACAAGTTGCTAGACGCGACTGCTCTGATAGTGATAGTCAGTTGCGAGGAGGAGGACGGGCCGTAAATGGCCCCCGGCAGCTTGAGACCCCTGGTCTAAGACGTGTTTTAACATCTCTAGACATTAATATTAAATATATTTAAATTTCCACCAACTTTCCTCCAGTTATGGCAATACTGTTTTTTTGTATTCAAAACCACTGCAGTGTATTTGAATTTGAAAGTTGCGTTGCCGTGGTAACATTAGAACTTTGGAACACTGGAATATTGGAAGTAGCCTGCATTCCAGCAGACTGTTGTGAACATTTCTTCATGAACTGAAAGCTCAAGACACCACTGAGAAGAGACAACCAGTGTTTTTCAGATATCAGTTGGCAGAATTGATTCAAATCTGATTGTGTTTGACCATCAAATCAGTATAAACATGTCAACTATTGCTCTCAGTTCTCCAGACACTTTTCCACCAACGGCCATGGAGCAGTCCTCATCTCAGGAACTCTTAATTGAGCTCAGCACAGCTTTGGCTGCAGGCCTGTGGTGGGCACAGGTAGAGGTCACATACCCCATTTCTGAAGAGCCTGACTATGGGGACAGCAACAAATGGCCAAGGTGGGAAATAATGGAGGCAGGAGATTTGTCATGGCCCTCACCGATAGTCTTCAATCATGCATCTGAGGAGGCTGAATCTCAGAGTTCAGCATCTTCGGATGCAATCCTGATGAGGATTGAGGAGCCGAGGCAGATCCATGAGTCAATGAACCAGGAGGTGCAACAGCATGAGCCTCAAGTCACAGATAAACAGAGGTCCCCCATGGCTGTGAAGCCCATAGAGGAAGGACATACAGAGTCTTCACAGGGATCTGCAGTTTCAGCATCACTGCCTGTCTCCAGCAGCCAGACTGAACATGTGTCCTTCAGAATGTTTACTGCAAAATGTGCTTTGACCACAATTTCTCTGCCAATGGACAAAAAGTTTAGTGACATCCTTATGGAGCGGAGGCAGAAGTGGAAGGAGGAGCTACGTAGACAGAAGCGGCAGCAGAGATCCCCAAATTCACCACAGGGAACACCTGTAACTGTAAGTTAACTTTAATTTCTGTCCATATAATTTAGACTTACTTAAAAATATATTGAATTTAATGTTTTCTGCGTCCTTATTTGAAATATGGATGATTAAGATGGAGTTGAATTTTCATCAAGGTTGTGATAGGTTTGCTATTTGAAATTAGTTTTTGTTTTGATATTATTGTACTTTTGGTGTAAATTTTAGTTTTGTTTGTTTGATTAAAGATTTTGTTAGTTTTAGTTTTTATTTCGTGAACACATTTCTAATTTTATATATATATAGTTTCAGTTTTAGTCATAATAGTTTCAGAGTTTGCAGAATATGTCCAGTATTGAGCAAAGTTTAGTGTTTCCACAACTAACATTAACCCCTTGCAAATATCTTACTCATAAGAATAAAAATATTGCTTGAACAGACACTGAACCCAAAAACACAACTTAAATTAATAAAAATAAAAACTTCTTTATATCAAAAATAATGTAGTTAAACATGTATGTTTTACCTTTTTTTGGCAAATGAAGAAAAAAATGAATCTTTTTATAGAAAATATGTTTTCCTATATATTAATGCACTTCACTGTTGTTTTTTAGCTCTAAAATCCTAATCTACAGGTGTTTTTGCATAAAATTAGTGATTCTTAATTCTGAAAATGATTATTATTTTGCTTTTTATTATTTTATTTCGGTTACACCCTGTAGATTTCAGTTCATGATGTTAGTTTCTATTACTTTATTTCACTTTAACAAAAAATTAGTTTTTTGGCCAATAGTTTTTTTCTTGGTTTTACTTTTTGTCCACTAAAATATCGTTGATTTTCACTGTCACACTTGAAAATTATTACAAAAACAGTGAATGGTTAAACATTTCTTTTTATTCCATAGACTTCTCATTAAAAAAGCTACAACTACAACTGTTATTACATTTTCTACACTCGCCTATTGTAAGACTTTCTCAAACATAGTTCAATAAATTATAACTTTTAAAAATTAAAAGAAAATGGTAAAATTATTAGGGCAACACAGTGGCTAAGTGGTTAGCAGAGTTGCCTCACAGCTAGAACATGGAGGAAGCCCAAGTAAACATTGAGAAAACATGCAAAACTCCACAAAGAAAAACATCCAGGGTCCGGTACTGAAACCAGCAACCTTCTTGCTCTGAGGCAACTATGCAAACCACTTAACTACTGTGCTGCTCCATTAAAAAAAACTGTGGGATAAATAAAGTTAGTGATTCCTTATATTTGTTCAAACACCAGACTTCAAACTACATTAATAAATTTAAATTCTTCTTCAAAAACATTGTTAAAAATAAACTTTTTTAAAAACATATTTGTCAACCAACCACATGCAAATAATTTAATGCAAATTTTCATTTAGAATTCTGATTATGTCTGTTTCTTCAACAGGACACTGCAGACGTGGACCATTCAGTTCCAGTGAAAAAAATCAAAACCAGTCATCAGCAGCTGTCGATTGACGATTTGTGCAGAAAATTTGCTGATTTATGTTTGTAGATTGTGTTTGTGTATTGTGCACATCTTAAATAAATATATTCCCATAAAAAATGTATGTAGTTTTGCTTGTTTAATTATAGAAAATTGAGGTGTGGAGAAACTAATAAAGTGCTTTGGGTGTATTTCAATACACAGTAATTCATTCATCAAGGGCAACACAAATTATTTTTGTTATTTGTTATAGTAATATATAATATATTCATTTTTGTAA